GATAATAGTCACATCAGCTCCAGTGTCCACTAAGCCACAAATAACTTTATTATTAATTTTAGTTTTCAACTGTGGCCTTTTATCATTAATAGAAGCTTGCCAAAATATGCGTTTCTCATTTTCACCAGTCACATGTGATTCTTCATCACTATTTAAACTACCTTCTAGACTGGTATCATTTTCCACAATAGGCAAGGAACTATCCATTCGTCCTGTGAGAGATTGTCTTCCACTGTCACTGGGAATGATCAAACTGTTCTCGGGGCAGGGGCCTGCTGGAGGTCCCCTTCCGAGTTTCCCGACGTCAATAGGTTCCCTTGCAAGTCCCTAGTCGATCTGCATTCGTTAGTCCAGTGTTTGCCCTTACCACATCTCCTACATAACCCAGAGGGCAATGACCTGTCACGTGGGGAATCGTTAGATTGTCTCTGTCTACAATTTCTCCTTATATGTCCCATTTTACCACAGCTGAAACATCTATTCTCCTGATGCTTCCGTGGACTCCTGGAGCGTGCTTTTCCTATGCGAGACTCTGGGTCATGGTGGCGATGAGCACTGGCCTCTCGGGACCTGTGTGAGCCCCTGCAAGGCTCTGTTCCTTCCCAAGTCCTTCTGTTGCTATCTTTTCTATTGCCTGTTGACCCATCTTGGGACAGCTTCTTCTGCCCAGATTCCAGCATCTTGTATGTTACAGTCAACATGGGCAGTATGCAGAACCCATTCTTCTAGTGGAGCTGATCTGATCTTTAGAGGCAAAAGTATTCTTTTGCACTTGGGTTTGCATTGTCGTAAGCTAAGCTATACACAATTGGATGTCGTATCGTTGGATCTGCTACCCGTATGTCTACTGCTCTGGTCAATTGGTCTAAGAAGTCCTTAAATGGTTCTGTTTGTCCCTGTTCTATTTTCGCATAAGCTTCTAGTTGTTCTCCTGGTTCACGAACCTTGTCCCATGCATTTAGTGCTGCTGTCCTGCATAGGGACAGCATATGGTCATCATATTCAGCCTGAATCTGTGGGTCAGCATAAATACCTTCTCCTAGGATTTTTTGGAGGGGTGCATCAACTCTGTCTCTGGTGGCTTGCCGTTCTAGGAGCCTGCCTTCTTCCCTAAACAACGCTGTCCATTCAATTTGGCAAGAATTCTCTTTCCTGGCTGTAGCGGTCGCACGCGGAGCCCCAGCAGGCTCCCGGGTGTTGGGGTCTGGGCGCCAACTCTTAAGATTACTGTGTGCGCTCGGAGATGACCTATAGTCCGTGATGGTAAGATTTCTTTATTCAGGAAAACACCAGAGCAAAACGCAGGCCACAGCGAGCTCACAGGAACGAAGCTAGTGCGGCCAGAGAGAAGGGGCCAGGGTCTCCATGTGCAGCCCTTAAGAACCTTCCCTTAAGTCACCCCGGCTTCCCTTCACCACGCCCTTAAGGGCGAGTCCCCGATCCACCTGGCACCTGTCCAGGTTGATGTTGGGCGGGGCTAGGGTGTCTCCCTACAAGGGCGGGGTCTACTTGGCTTCATCGGGAAGGTGGGCTCTGCTAGGAAGTGTGGGGCCGGGTGTCCAGAGACTCTCCTGGTCATCTTTTCATTCTCTGGCAGAGCCTTGTTAAACGTGTCATGCTCAAAAAAGAAAAAAAAAAGAAAAAGCCAGGTGGTGGTGGTGATGATACACACTTTTAATCCCAGCACTCAGGAGGCAGAGGCAGGAGGATCTCTGTGAGTTTGAGGCCAGCCTGGTCTCCAGAGTGAGTTCCAGGACAGCCAGGGCTACACAGAAACCCTGTCTTGAAAAACAAAAAAACCTTGTTGTGCTCCAAGCCAGAGGTGTCATTGGAGAGCCCCTGACCTCTTGACCTCCGTGGTGCCTACGTCATTTCCCCTGCTGCTGTGATAAAGCAACCTCTGGGTATGTTTTGACTCACAGTTTGAGCTGCAGTGCTTCATGGCTTCTCAGGGCTGACGGACAGGGGGTCACAAGCGGGAGCCGATAGTCTGGTGGCTGGGGACATGGAAGAGCATGGAGAGTGACATCATGTCACCATGGTCACAGTCAGCATCCTGGGGAGGTGGGTAAACCTGCCATGGTTCAGAGGTGTGGGGAAGTGGTTGCAAAGTTTATGCACACGGAGAGAGAACCACTTGGGTCACTGAGAGCTCCTGGAGATGCGTCTGTGCGGGCACCGTGCAAGACAGAAGTGTGGTAAGGAGCAAGGAAAGCCTGGCCTTTAGTGTGCATGAGATACACCAGGGATTGTGGGGGAAAGCAGGCAGGGTAAGTGTGGGAAGTGACAGGGCCAGGCTTTTAGTTTGGTCAGGGAAGCTCCAGTGAGGGGTGTCCTAACAAAGGGGAGAGGGTGGCTGGTCCTGTGAGTGCCACTCAGTGTTCCATCTGCTTCAGAGACCCAGAGGCAGCACTGGGTTTGGCATGTCAGGGCACATCAGGACACTTGATACTGTTGTGCCCACCCCTCAGGAGAGCATGGGCCAGGCTAGGGATGGGGCTGTGCAAGTCTCGTACACCAGCACTGGGCCATCATTTGTACTCTGTGAGCCGTCCACAGAGTAGAGGGCAATTCCTCATCTGCTGGGGTTTACTTATCGGAGAAGCCGTGTGGTCTTGCTCTACTTGTTTTCTGCTTTGCAGAGACCAGAAGCCTGTCAACAGCGTATGACCACCAAGGGTACTCATGGGTGCAAACGTCAACTGTCAGTAGCTAGTACTTGTGTGTAGTGCTAGTATCACAGCTATCTTCTTGCCCCGAGGTTATAGACTCCTGGGTCCAGGAGTCATATCGTTTCAGATGGTGCATGTGGGCGCCAGAATAGAGCCTTCTCTGTCTGGAGCTCATGGCAAAGAGTTTCTAGACCCCTTGGGCTGCATAATAGGGGCAGACAGAGGTCAGATGGCACCAAGACCAGCCCAACAGGCAGGTTGTATCGTGTTGAGCGCCTGAGCCCTGGACTTGGTGATGGTCCAGGGGCACAGAAGCTACCCAACTCGAAGTAGCACCCCATCTCTCCATTTTTGTCTTTGATAGGATCTCCCAGCGAGTAGAGCTGAGTCGGTGCCAGCTGCAGGCCCTTAGGGAGAGGGTCTCCTTGGCCCAGGCGAAGATAGAGAAGATCAAGGGCAGCAAGAAGGCCATCAAGGTAGGCCATGAATGCTGTGTGCTGTTGCTGGTGCTCGACCTTCCTGTGCCCCTGCTGTTCAGCCACACCTCAATTCCCTCCTGCCCATGGTCACCCCATTCTTAGTGCCTGCTTATGAGTACTGGGCTATCCTGAATATGTGGGCCCCAGAGTTGTCCCTGTATCTGCAGGTCTTCTCTAGTGCCAAGTACCCGGCGCCTGAGCGTCTGCAAGAATATGGCTCCATCTTTACTGGTGCCCTCGACCCTAATCTGCAGAGAAGACCCCGGTACAGGGTCCAGAGCAAGCACCGCCCCCTGGATGAGCGGGCCCTGCAGGTCTGAATGCCACTTGCTGCTGGGAGGCCGGGCCTGAAGGTTGACCACAGATTTCAGTCGCCTAGAAGGACTCTGGTTGGGGCCGTAAGCCTGGTACTGAAACGGCATCTGCTCTGATCCTACTCCAGGAGAAGCTGAAATACTTTCCTGTGTGTGTGAACACCAAGTCGGAGCCTGAGGATGAGGCTGAGGAGGGACTTGGGGGTCTTCCCAGCAACATCAGCTCCATCAGCTCCCTGCTGCTCTTCAACACCACAGAAAATCTGTAAGGCCAGGAGATAACTAGCAGGAGGGAGGGAGGGAAGCCTTGCTTAGTTAGCTCCAGGGGCCTGAGCCTGCTGTAGTCCTCAGGACTGACAAGTTTGATTTGGCTTCTAAGACTTGAGGATCCTAAAGGACAGGTGATTGTAGGGGAAGCTGTAGCCATGCCTACTTAGGGGCTGGCTACAGGTGTGCCTACAGGTGATGGCCTCCTGACTCTATCTCACTCCACAGGTACAAGAAGTATGTTTTCCTGGACCCTCTGGCTGGCGCAGTAACAAAAACCCACACGATGCTGGGCACAGAAGAGGAGAAGTTGTTTGATGCCCCTCTGTCTATCAGCAAGAGAGAGCAGCTGGAACAGCAGGTGGGGTGGAGAGCTCGCACAGGTGGGGTGGAGAGCTTGCCCTCCCGGTACACAGTTCCAAGGAGGCTCCAGTGAGCCTCTGTCTGCCCCGCTGTGTGGGTCCAGTGTGGGCCCTGTGCTCTGGCAGAGCTATCACACACTTCCTGTACCACCTGACCCCGCAGGCCCCAGAGAACTACTTCTATGTGCCAGACCTGGGCCAAGTCCCTGAGATTGACGTGCCCTCCTACCTTCCTGACTTGCCTGGCATCGCAGATGACCTCATGTATAATGCCGACTTGGGCCCTGGCATTGCCCCCTCTGCTCCTGGTGCCATTCCAGAACTGCCCACCTTCCACACAGAGGTAGCTGAGCCTTTCCAGCCAGGTGAGCTGGGCCCTGGGATGGATTGAGCTGGAAAGCTCTTGCTGGCTCCTTTCCTAATCGTCATTCCTTCTCACATTCCTTACAGAACTGGAGGATGGAGCGCTTCTGGCAGCGCCACCACCACCGCCACCGCCACCACCACCACCTCCCCCAGCTCCCACCGTGGTGGTCAGTGCCCCACAACCACCAGTGTTCCCTGAAGTGGCAACTGCACCTGGCCAGGTTGCCAGGGAAGAAGACAGGAGCAGCGGCGTGGCCCACTCAGGTAGGGGCAGTGCAGATGGGCTCGTGTGGCTGGCCCTCATTAATAGGACCTCCAGTTTTTTCATGCCAGGATCCCCCGAGACTTCTCTGTAGTTCACATGTTCCTAGGCCCGGGATCTGCAGACAGTTCTCATTATGGACATGTAGTCTTAACAGGGTTGATGGAGTGGTTTCTGTGCCATACAGAGTTGTGGGATCCTGACTTTCAGGACAGAGGAAGCCTTGGGAAGGCGGTGTGCCCGTGGAAAGAGTCTATTAACAAACCTGAAATTTCCAGATTTCCGCTCATCTCCAGCCATTCCATGGGGTAGAAAATCCTTTGTTGGCTGTGGTGCTCAGCACATCAGACTCACAGGGTCTTTAACTGCAGAGTGTATAGAAATAGGGGGTGGAGACGGGACGAGAGATGCCTGGACACGAGGCCCCTCGGCACATTGTCCGCAGAAGGCCAGGCCCATACTGCATCATCTCAGAAGCCTCTGGCTTCACAGCTGGGCCCCCATTTGCCAGGATCCCAAGATCACCTCCAGCCTGAAGCTGTGCAGCTTTCCCCATCCCTCAATGCTAGCAATCTTTCGTCCTTCTCCTTACAGCCTCTGTCCAAGGAGCTCCTAAGGAGGTGGTTGACCCCTCCAGTGGCCGAGCCACTCTGCTGGAGTCCATCCGCCAAGCTGGGGGCATTGGCAAGGCCAAGCTGCGCAGCGTCAAGGAGCGCAAGCTGGAGAAGAAGAAACAGAAGGAGCAGGAGCAAGGTGAGGGCGCGAGCAGGCTCCCCGGCAGCCATAGCAAGTCCCTGTGGCCCACCTGACAGGTGCCCTTGTCCCTCTGGCCTGGGCCATGGTTTCCTGGGGGGAGCTTTCCTGCCTTGAGCTCTCCCCGCTGAGACCACAAGAAAGGAGAATGCTTGACAAGCATTGCCCAGGGAACCCTGCAGACCCCAAGGTCCTCTGGGACGAGATGGAGGACTGGCCCTTATCCACCCTGAGGATTATGTCTGCCAAGAATCCTCGCTAGTGGCATCCTAGTCAACGTGTGTGTGAAGTGTCAGAAGTCCTAGGCTTGTATCATAGATCTCCTTCTGACCTTCTGTGACTGCATCCCGGTAGCCTGGCCTCTCTGAGCCCATGTCCTTATCCATATAGGGGTCCTGGGAACTGAAGCATGGCTGTGGGCATATATATCACTTGTAGTCAGCACATGGCAGGAGAGCAGGGGGAGGAGTGCTGCAAGGCCAGGCGAGCCCAGTGTGTAATGTCTGTACTTGGTTTCCTCTTCCCTTACCTGTTGCCCTCCCACTGCAGTGAGAGCCACCAGCCAAGGCGGGGACTTGATGTCTGACCTCTTTAACAAGCTTGTCATGAGGCGCAAAGGTAGGCATCTTGTGCATCTCTCTCTTCAGGGGCAGGGGAAGTCTCTCTCTCTCTCTCTCTCTCTCTCTCTGTCTCTCTCTCTCTCTTTCTCATCACCTCTCTTCTCTCTCTCATCACCTCTCCCTCCCAGGAATCTCTGGAAAAGGACCCGGTTCTGGCACTAGTGAGGGACCTGCGGGAGCCTTCACGCGGATGTCAGACTCCATCCCACCCCTGCCACCCCCACAGCAGCCCGCGGGCGACGAGGATGACGATGACTGGGAGTCCTGAGTGTGCTCTGACCCCTCTCCCACATTCAGCAGCAGCAGCTTCGAGGGGCTTCTCAGCCAGCTGAGGCCTTTCAGGTCCTGCTGCCCATGCAGGTCCAGGGGGTGATACAAGTGTTAGGGGTCTGTGCCCAATCTCTTCATGGAGTGGGGACTGTGCGAGCCGCCTGCTGCTTCCCTGCTTCACACCACTGCTTGACTCCCTCCTCCCCTGAAGAGCAACAGCAGCAAGAAGGAATAAAGAAAGTAACTAGGGCCGGGCGTTGGTGGCGCACGCCTTTAATCCCAGCCAACAGGGCCCTTTTAGTAAATGAAGAGCAGTTTCTTGGAGTGTGACTGTCCTTCCCAACTCTTCTCAGGGACCCTGCAGGATGTCTGGGGGAACTGAGCTCTTTCTCTGGGATCAAGGAAATTAGAGATGAGGGCAGCTATTGCAGAGGGACATTTTTCTCACTGGAAAAATGACTTGGTGTTTGCTCAGGGGGCTGAGGACAGGAGGTGCTGCAGGCCCCAGGGAGAACTTAGAGGCAAGCTAGGGAGTTTCATGGACTGAGGACACTTGAGGGGTAGGGCTGCAGTTAGGAACTGAAACTGGTATGAGGTCCCTGTGGATACAAGAGCCAGTGGGAAGCTGACCCTCCTGTGAAGGAAGGCCAGCAGGAAGCTGATCCTGGCCACCCTGTGTGGTACAAGCAGGTCTTGGGGGGTGATCATGCTGCCCTGCACTAGGCAGTTAGGGCTAGTGTTTGCGGTTTCTTCAAGCTGATCCACATTTGCCCCTGGTAGCTCTTTGGTATACAGGCCACGTGGGGCCCACCCAGGTGTGCCACAGGCCATCAGAAGAGCTGAAGCTCTCTGGATGAAACTGCACATGCAGAAAAATTACCGAGGAGGCCCCTTGGAGAGGGGAAGGCAGACTGAGCCTCCTACACAGTAGTGAAGGCAAGACCAAAGGTGGCTTTCACCTCCACTGGGTGTGGGAACCGGGTTGGCAGCTCTGTCAGGACAGAAGGGCAGATGCATGCCTGCTGCCTCTCAGCTCTGAGGGTGGGGCTGATTTAGGGCCACTCACAGTGGGTGGCCATCAGGTCACTTCCCTTCCTCTGCCCTTGGCAGGTACCATCCCTCATCCTCAATTTCTATCAGGCCCAGCTTGGTGACAACCTTGATGCTCAGATTCTCCATCAGCCTCTTCCCTGGTGGGGCTCTGACTGGAGTTCTAGCCTGGGAAGGACACAGAAGATGGCTGGTCTGTTTCTACTTATCCTGGTGTCCTGGCTTTGTAGCAAAGCCCGGTTTCATGGACCCAGGCCTGTGGCATGTATTAGAGATGAAGCCACAGAGAGAGCAAGTGGATGTGAAGCCAGGGTTAGCTACTGTCAACGCAGGGACGTGCCACCCATGGCCTACAGGTGACACCCTGGCCTATAGGTGATACAGCTCGTTACCAGGGTCATTATAGGGAAGGCTGAGCCGCCTTCCTTGATGAATAGGCCCATTAAACAAAACAGTGCAAAAAAGAAAAGAGATTTGTTCAGTGTGATCCCACTGGGAAGAGGAACAAAGAGGTCTGGTTACACCCTCCACTGCTGTCAAGTCTCTTTTTGGAGTCTTAATATGAGGTTTAAGCTTAGACAAAAGGTGGAGGATGTGGCCCAGCCCCTCTTGACAAGTCAGCTGTATGGAGCCAGGCTCCCCTCTCCCGGTGTGAGATCCCAAGGGAAATTCCAGTTCCTGGAGGTGTGTCAGCTCAACAGTCTGACACCCAAAGGAAGGCACACGCGCCCCTAGAGTAGCTTTGTTCTTGTGAGGATGGTGCAGGCTCCTCTCCCCAGCCCACCCTGTTCTCTGAAATGCTGGAGGGACTTCAAAGAATCCGGTTCATCCTATATCACCACACACTTGTGCAGGGACACGGGATCCAATGGGATTTGTGGTCATCAGCTGTTGTTACTCCCACATTTACAACCCCGCTGACTCTTTCCCTTTCCTACACCTACCACCTGAAAAGGGTGTTTTTCAGATTGGAGACCCAGTCCATGCCAATAACAGAATCCTCAGCAAGTTACAGCTGCCCACTTCTGTTCCACCGGGTCTCAGCCTCAGCAAAGAGGGCACTGTCTACCAGCCCAAGTCATCAGAAGTTAATCTCTTTGGTCATCTTCTGCAGACTGCAGAGGAGCAGGGTCTCTTCAGGTGGCCTCCAGCCAGGCTGCAGCACTGTGGGGGACCTGCTAATCTGGGAAGCCCAGTACCATCTATCTGGTTTCTACGTGGCCCCTGGAGCCACTCTTATTTCCACCCCTTGGCTTGGAGTTTCTCATCACCACCCAATGCACCGGGTTTGTTTTCTAGATACTGTAAAAGCCCAGAGAGCTGGCAAGAGTGAACACACACACACACACACACTCGCACGCGCGCGCACACACACACACACACACACACACACACACACTGCTTAAGAGCCTGGGTTTTCACCAGGCAGTACTCTTTAATCCCAGCTCTAGGGATCTGAGTTTCGAGAATCCCTTTCTTGAAGTGGGGGTTGGGAGGAGCCTGGGGTTGGAACTTGACACAATCTTTAGGGAAACAGGCACGCAGCCCATGGAGCCTGGAAGAGGGTGAAGGAGCCAGAAGCTTGCCACAGTTGAGAAGCTTGAGTAGTCCTGCGAGGTACTCCAGATGGTATTGTCCTCACAAAGCCCGGTCTGGCTGCAGGGCCACTTACTGTTTCCTGATGGCCAGGCCCACCAGCAGTCCCACTGGGCACGGATGTGACACAAGGGGAAGAAACACCACGGCCTCTGCACCATCAGTGGAAGTCTTTATTGTTTTAGAGGCCGGGAGAGCATCCTTGGTTAACACCTCAGTAGGTAACAACGAAAAACCATGACCAAGAAGCAAGTTAGAGAGGAAAGTGTTTATTTGACTTACACTTCTGCATCACTATTATTCATTGGAAGAGGTCAGGACAGGAACTCAAGCAGGGCAGGATCCTGGAGGCAGGAGCTGATGCAGAGGCCATGGAGAGTGCTGCTTACTGGCTTGCTCCTCATGACTTGCTCAGCCTGCTTTCTTACAGAACCCAGGACCACCTGCCCAGGGATGGCTCCACCCACAATGGGCTGTGCCCTACCCCGTCGACCTTTAATGGAGAAAATGCCTTACAGCTGGATCTTATGGAGGCGTTTCCTCAGCTGAGGCTCCTTCTTCTGATGACCCCGGCTTGTGTCAAGTTGACACACAGTCGGCACAGGTGTCCTCAGCAGATGAAGAAGGGAGGCCTGTGATGCAAAAATGTTGGACTGTGGCTCCCGCTGAGGTCAGCCTCACCCTGGGAGCCTCTCAGAAGCTTGCCACCGTTCTGAAGGCCAGAGTCCCAATCGGAAATGTCTACAAAGAACACTAGTGACAGCAAATCAGAGGCTGAGAGGGATTGGGTGCGTGCACCTGCCCATTCAGTTCTTAATTTCAGAGGAAAAGAAAAATCCCAGACTCTGAATGGGTTTTCTTAAGGTGACCGGGTATCCAAGGTGGGAGCAGCAGTGACTTCAGATTCTGGCTGAGGCACAGCTCAGTTCCCGGAGGATGACACCTGCTTCCTGGAGTCACACAGGCTCTGAAATTCCCAGAGGCATGTGCCAAGGATGCTCAGAGCCCTGCAAATGCAGCGTGACCTCCAATTTCTGGGGCTGAGTCATTGTGCCCTTTCTGGATGCTCTCTGGCTGCTGTCTGTCCCTCACCATCTGCCTTTCCCATCACCAGAGCACAGGGGAGGGGGCACTGCAGCAGGTCGGCCAGGATCACTCTGCCACCACTGTCCTGGGGCCAGGAAGCTAAGGAAGGATTTTTGGAATACTATTTCATGGAAAGTAAGACTTGCATGAAGATTTCCACTGGTGCTCATTGACAATGTATTACCACCAGAAGCCGTGTCCAGTCATTCATGCTGGCAGCGTGTCTCATGGCTGCTCTCACGGCCCTCTGCTCATCCTGTCTTTCCTCCCACCCAGGCTGTGCCCAGCACTGCTCTCCTCACAGGGACAGCCTCCTCCAACGTCCTGCAGTACCACGCATCCTCTCTGGTCTGTTACCCTGTTGAACTGTTTTCATGTGGACTTACCTAACCACCTTTGTCTTCCTGAGAATCCTGGACTCTGCCCGTGTGCCAGCTCCTTGTGGGCAGCTTGACCATCAGACTAACAATCCTGGGGTCCAGCACCTACTGAGGGCCTGGCACATCACCATGTTTACCGAATGTCGACGGAAAAAAGAACAGTTTACACCATTGCAGGAAGGCAGCCCAGAGGCTGGGGTCAGACCTCAGACCCAATCTTCACATTTACTCCTTGTAAGTAAGAATGGAGTTGGGCCCATGGAGGGAAGAATGGCTACCAGGAGGACTGCAGTAGGCACAGCCCAGGAACAGGAACAGGCTGCATGGCTAGAACTGAGAGCTCAGCTCTGTCAGACAGCCCATATCTGGGACAATATCCCAAGGAAATGCAGACGTATGCCACATGGCTACCCCTCTGACTAATCCGGAGAGACTTTCTTTCATGTTTCAGGAGCCAGAGGAAGGATTCGAAAGGAAGTTGCCGCCCTCTTGAAGGCAGAGGTCTGACTACAAGGGTGCTGCAGAGAACCTAGGTCAAGAAATGGGATTTATGGTTTCATCATCAAGCGTCCGTGTCCCTTTGGCCTACAGCTGCCTCTGTCCATGCAGCTGTTGGCACACTAAGCATTCTGGGGAGCAAAGGATCCCTACTGATGGGACTGCACAGGCTGAGAACTCCTGGGACTTAGAACATCAGTGTCCCAGCCGCTGGCTGGAAGGGCCTAGACTGGACAACCCCAGCAGACCTTCTAGGTTGAGACTTAAGAACTTCATCCACAGTAGTGAAGAGAGGTCATGTCCAGGAGAGTCATAATCTGCAACAGCCTTGTGGCTTTGCTGTGTGGTCTACCTTATCTTCCCAGGTGGAGGGTTTTGGGCAAGCAGCTGAATCCTCAGAAGACTGAGTCAGATTCTTGATGGGTTAAGAAGTCGACAGAGAGCCAGGCTGGAGAGAGTAGGGGGCCTGAGGGTATCATTTCCCCCCAAGAGCCTACATTATGAAGCCTCCTCCTATTCCTTGCCTGTTTGCCACACCACGTCAGGCCCCCGACACTTATCCAAACCATAGTCAAAAAGAGGCGACAACCCTCCTGCTGTCACCTCCTGATTGCTGGGATTATTGTGTTAAACCACCAATCCTAGCTGCCAGACCCCTGTGTAAAATGAGTGACGATGAAGCCTGTTGATGCAGTGTGAATAGACTTTGGGGTTAAAAAGGATGTTCGGGTCAAGATGGCGAGGTCCCGAATACTAGAGGGCTTGTAGGCATGACGATGGGCTGGGATCTGAAAAGACAAAGCCAGTGTAAGCATGTCTGGCTCTCATTCATTCCCATGAAACCTCCCCTTCTCCAAGGAACACAGGAAAGATACTGAGGCCTACTTAGACATTTTTGATCCTAATGCAGCTATCTGAAACAGACTAAACTGTGAAAACAACTTCGAAGAAGCCTCCCAGTATCCCCAGTCCATCCCACAGACGAGGAACTAGATGAGGTAACCAGGAAAGACTGCAGTCCATGCATGAAGCTACTGCAGGCTTTGTCTCGAGACTTTGATGCCAATGTCCAGGTGAGAACAAAAACCAGCATAGTTAAAGGCTAGCAGACCCCACCAAGCATTAAGTCCAGCAGCCGGCCCAGCCCCTTATACAACGGGCACTAAAGGGCAGACAGTTAACCATTCTAATGTCTCTTGGGAAAGAAGAGGGAGAAGGGCCCTAAGCTTGAGGCTGTGGTAAAGATTTCTAGCTACAGCCTCTGAAAGTGGGTCATGTCTGGTGTCCTTTATGCAATAAACAGGGAGGTTGATAGGGACAGTTTGCTAAGGCCCCTGTTACCTGTGCTTCTGTAACGAGTGACGGAAAACGAGTCTCGACAGACTGACTGTTCCTCAGAGTCTGCCAACTTTTTATTTTTGCATTATTTCACCGCAGTACAACTTTGTAGCTTCGTTACTGTGAAACAGATTCAATATCTACATTAAAGGAGGAAAAATTCATAAATATACGCATGAAGGACCGCAACGAAAAACAAACCCCAAAGACAAAGACACACAGACACAGACACAGACAGACACACACACACACACACACACACACACACACACACACACACACAGAGACACACACCACACCACACTCTCTCACCTCCCCACCCCCCACGCTGGTCTGAAGTGCGCAGGCGCACTGGCGCGGGGGCGTGGCCGCGTGGCGGGCTTTCCTGCGGGCGGGCGGGCGCTCCTCCAGTGGGGGCAAGGCAAGGCTTGCGTGCTCGCCTCGGCGAGAGCGTCCTGCGGCTGAGGGTGAGTTCGGCTGCGTGGAGGCCGCGCTGAGGGCGAAGGCAGCGGGAAGAGCGGTCTCGAGTTGTTACGAGGAAGCGGCCCCGGGAGAGCCAGGGGGCGGGGCCATCGGAGCGCGCGGAGCGTCCGGAAGTGGGGGGGTGGGGACAGCGCGTGATTGACTGGCCAAGAGCCAATGCGACGGGCATCCCGGGGGTGGTGGCGCCTTCCAGGGGGCGGGGCGAGCGGATCGCGCGGAGAGGCCGGAAGTGAGGGGGTGGGGACAGCGCGTGATTGACTGGCCAAAAGCCAATGCGAGGGGCAGCCCGGGGTTGGCGGCGCCTTCGGTTGAGGTCTCGGGTTCGGGGCCGCCGAGTCGAGCGGCTGCGTGGTCTCGTGAGCGCCGCGGCTGTCCCGTCACCACGCTGTTGAGCACGAAGACGCAGGTGTGGGTGATCGCCAACGTGCGGTCCGGCGCACGCCGATTCCAGCTCTGCGGTCCCGCCGTTTGCTTTTAAGGGTTGCGGGAGGAGGATCCGGGGTGTGGCCGCCGCACTGCTCTCGGGGGCGGCGTTCCCGGGAGCCCGGCGCCGGCTCCGGCTTGCAGGTGGCCCTCGTGCACCCGGGTTAACCCAGGGTTTGCCTCGTAGTGTCCCCCTCCCTGACGCCCCCGGCGGCTCACTGCAGCTCCGCCAGGGAGCGGCGTCCCCAGCCAGCAGTTACTTCAGTTCTGTAATGCCAGCGTGCAGCAGCCGTGTTCCGTTACTATGCTGGTGATAGGTTAAGTGAGATCATAAAAATTAACGCGGAGGGGGGAGCTGCACAGTGTTTTACACATGGCAAATGCTCAGAATTTGTTGGTTACTTTTTTTTGTTGTTTTTTCGAGACAGGTTTCTCTGTAGCTTTGGAGCCTGTCCTGGAACTTGCTCTGTAGACCAGGCTGGTCTCGAACTCAGAGATCCACCTGCCTCTGCCTCCCCAGTGCTGGGATTAAAGGCGTGCGCCACCAACGCCTCGTAGTGTTGGTTACTAAAAGTTGGTTACTTTTAAAAACACTTTTTATGTGTATGGGTATTTTGTCTGCATGTATGTCCGGGTCCCTGGAACTGGAGTTTTAGAGACGCTTGTGAGCTGCCATGTAGATGCTGGGAATTGAACCTGGGTGCTCTGGAAGAGCAGCCAGTGCTCTTAACTGCTGAACCATCTCTCCAGCCCCTGTTGGTTACTTTTCCTTCCCCTTTGTGTTTTAATGGTTTTTAAGTTACATGGCTTTTTATTATCGGATTATCTTAGTTTGTTAGTTGTTTTGGTAATGTCTCCACTTGGTTTGTCATTTTTCTGCCCCTAACTATATGACTGGAAGAACACATTGGCAACTACTTTACTCCATAAATGAATTGACAAAGTTTTCAGTTAGGAAAAGCAAATGTGCGCTGATCATTCTGTGCCATTTCCCATAGGTTGTTGGGCCTTCATCGTAGGAGCAGGTGAGGTGTGTGGGCAGGCGAATTACGGAGGCCTTGGAGAAGGTTGCTGGAGAAGGAATCACAGCTGTGATCCAAAGGACCCTCCCCTTTCCTCGGGCACACTCTGCTTTGGTGCAGGTATGGGCATCCCGTAGCAGCGCAGGACGCTCATCTTAGAGCTTCCCTGGGCTGTCCTCTGCAATGATAGTATCTAACCAGGATATGTCACGGTTGTGTGGTCCTGGCAAATCGTGTATATGTATGTATAAATGCACAGAGCATGGTCTCTACTTGCCAGAAAATATACACTGGAGAGGCAAATTCTGTGACAAGTGGGAAAACTATATAGATCTCAAGCCACTTCATGGCTCACCAGAAAGGTAATCTCTCTCTCTCTCTCTAGGGCAATGGCTGAGGAAAGTCAGGAGATTGGTGGCATCCATTTCCCGTTTCCCTTCCCACCCTATCCTATCCAGAAGGACTTCATGGCAGAGCTCTACAAGGTTTTGGAGGCTGGCAAGATTGGGATATTTGAGAGTCCAACCGGCACAGTGAGTGTGAGGGATGAGGGAGCTTCCTCACCCTGACAGCTCTCCTGTGAGACACTGCTTCCCCTCACAGCTCTCCTGTGAGACCCTGCTTCCCCTGACAGCTCTCCTGTGCAGACCCTGCTTCCCCTCACAGCTCTCCTGTGCAGACCCTGCTTCCCCTGACAGTTCTCCTGTGCAGACCCTGCTTCCCCTGACAGCTTTCCTGTGAGACCCTGCTTCCCCTGACAGCTCTCCTGTGAGACACTGCTTCCCCTGACAGCTCTCCTGTGAGACCCTGCTTCCCCTCCCAGCTCTCCTGTGAGACCCTGCTTCCCCTGACAGCTCTCCTGTGAGACCCTGCTTCCCCTCCCAGCTCTCCTGTGAGACCCTGCTTCCCCTGACAGCTCTCCTGTGAGACCCTGCTTCCCCTCCCAGCTCTCCTGTGAGACCCTGCTTCCCCTGACAGCTCTCCTGTGAGACCCTGCTTCCCCTCCCAGCTCTCCTGTGAGACCCTGCTTCCCCTGACAGCTCTCCTGTGAGACACTGCTTCCCCTGACAGTTCTCCTGTGAGACACTGCTTCCCTTGAGAATTAAATCAGGGTCCAGGAGTCATGAGTTTACCTTTCTGCATAGCAGTCACTTTCTGTGTTAAACTGTTAAAAACAGCACCACCGTCTGAGGAAAAACCAGGCTGAAAGTGCAGTGCAAACCGTCACACCAGTGCTTCTGAGATCTCCCTGGCACCCTGCCACCTTGATGTTTAGGGACAGAAATGTGGCTGTGGCTTTCCCCCAGGTTCAGTATACTACTTTAGAGTGTACAATACAGGTTACCGAGTGTTGTCAGGAGTCAAGCAAGGGGACCCTGTTTTTCCTTCCTGACCCAGACTGAGTGAGGGATGTGTTTGAGGTGGGTTGTGGCTAGTGATCTCCACTTGCTTCTAGCATCCTGGTGTATAACCTTGCACAGTGAGGACTACGTGATAGTGAGCTGTGAATTTCCGTGTGAAGATGCTCAAACTCTAGGCTTTAACCTCACAAGATATAAGAACCATGGTCCCTGTTAACTGCATGCTTAGCATTTGTAGAGTTGGCGAGGTTGGCCTGTGGGAGGCTCTTTGTATGAACTTTCTGAACGAGCACATAAAAGGCAGTGAATTGTCCCTGTCCTTATGTGTGCAGAAGTACAGCTCCAGAATTGACACCCAGGATTCTGGGGCAGAAAATATGTCTATGGGATACTCCGTTGTTCCTTTTATACCAGTGGTTCTCAGCTTGTGGGCTGTGACCCCCTTGGGGAGTTAAAAAGGCCCTTTTACAGGGGTTGCATGTCAGCTGTCTCCCATATCAGACATTTGCACTGTGATTCATAACAGTGCAAAGTTACAGTTCTGAAGTAGCAGCAAAAAAGATGTTATGGCTGGGAGTCACCACACATGAGGAACTGTATTAAAGGGCCACAGTGTTAGGAAGGTTGAGACCGCTGTTGTATATGATGAGTAGGAGCATATTTTGGGTACCTTGTGAAGATTGTTCCATGACTTAGGTGAGCATTTGATCTGCAGCAGCTTTTATTTTTTTGGAAACAGGGTTTCTTTGTTGTAACAGCCCTGTCTCCTGTCTGTCCTGGAACTGGCTTTGTAGACAAGGCTGAACTTGAACTCAAAGATCACCACTGTCTGGCTGGATCTGCAGCGTTTTTTAAAAACAAGGTCCATTTGGCCTTTTTATTACTAGCAGTATTATTTTTTTTAAGATTTTATTTATTTATTATGTATACAACATTCTGCTTACATGTATATCTGCACACCAGAAGAGGGTACCATATCTCATAACGGATGGTTGTGAGCCACCATGTGGTTGCTGGGAATTGAACTCGGGACCTCTGGAAGAGCAGTTGGTGCTCTTAACCTCTGAGCCATCTCTCCAGCTCCTGTCGTAGCAGTATTATTTTCATTATTTGGGTTTTACATCACTTGACATCAGAGCAAGCCTCAAGCACGCCAGTGGAGCTCTTTAGCACCACTCACTGTGCAGCCCTCTCAGCCTGCAATTTTTGTGGTCTTATTACAATATCTAACCCTGTGCGGCTTTAGTCACCTTTGGTGTTTGTGTTACAGTGCCCACGGTTAATTTTAGAAGATGATTTTGGGCATACCCTTAGGAACTGCTGCTCCCTTTTTAGTGGAGCGTGTGTAGGGGCTCTGTTCCTCAGCCATTTTCGCACACTGGCGTCTTACCTGTCTTGTCCAACAACATCTAAAGACAGTATTTCTGTCTATCTTTCATAATTTTTTTTCCGAGACAGAGTTTCTCTGTGTAGCTTTGGAGGCTGGCCTCGAACTCACAGAGATCCATCTGCCTGCCTCTGCCTCCCGAGTGCTAGGATTAAAGGTGTGCACCACCGACGCCCGGCCAGAACTGCAGCTTCTGGTTATGACACGGGGAAAGCCTCCATCTCTCATGCTCAGAACTGCAGCTTCTGGCCTTGTCATTCCTCATGGTCATTCTTCTTCCCTCAGGGCAAGTCCTTAAGTCTTATTTGTGGGGCTCTCTCCTGGCTCCGTGACTTTGAACAGAAGAGGTTACAGGCGGAGGCTCGTCTTCTTGCACCTGGGTCTGGCCCCACGTGTGGTGGGAAGAACTCGCTCCCACCTTGCTCACCTTGCCAAGAGCCCTGTGACACCCCGAGGCCTGCTGGAGAGCCCGACTGGGTCACTGAATTTGTTCAGAAGAAAGAAGAAAGGGACCTGATAGAGAGACTGAAGGTGAGATCTCGGGGTAGAGAAAGGGGAACAAGCTTCCCTGATTATTTTCAATTTATTACAACATTGAGGGATTCCACATTCTTTGTTTGGTGATGCCTCTCAACCCTTCTGTGAACTTGTGTGGATATCGTTGTCTCTTTCTGATGCGAGCAGGCCTTTTCCACTTATGGTTCACCTGGGTTCTGTTTTTTTTTTTTTTTTTTTTTTTTTCACTCGCCCGACGAGGCACACAGTTGAAGGATGACTTTTGTATGCCCTGGAGAAAGAGAGGATGTAGTAGCCCTTTTGTACTGAGCAATGAGGCCAGACCTGCAGAGATGGAGGCGGGGTGTGTGGCAAGGGCAAGAAGCCCCTACGTAGACTCCCCGCAGAGGAAGGTCTGGGCTGCCCCCCTACCTACCCCCCAGGGGTCTTTCTGCTGTCCTTGCCCTTTAGGAGGAGCAGGTGAAGAGGAGGAAGCGAGAAGAGCGTCTGCAGCAAGCCTGCCAGGGTGGAAGGCTCAGGTGTGCAGCAAAGCGCACGGTGAGCGTCTGGGGGCCGTGGTGTGGGCAGCTGGAGTAGCAGGGTCCACTCCTGGCTGGTGGCCGCCCTTCCTTAGCCAGTAGGCAGGGATCTTAAGTGGGGGGAGAGTCTGAGCCTGGACGAGGAGTTCTTGAGTCAGGTGGGGAGGCTTACGTTCCGAGATGAATGTGGATGTCCTGTCCTTGGTGACAGCGATGCTGGGGCCTAGCTCTGTCAGGGAGTCGGCTCAGGACTCATTGCTACGGCTTCTGGTTGGATCTTGGTCCCTACCCAGAAACAGGAAGAAGAGGAGACGGAGACTCTCTTGCGCCTCAGCAAGGAGATGCTGGCTGAAGGGACGGGACTGGAGCAGCTGGAGTGTGGGGAGGAGGCGCTGCTTCTGGCAGAGTACGAGAGTGATGAGGAGAGCAGAGCCAGCAGGTGAGTCCACTGCTCCTCATCAGTCCACAGCCCTGCGGGGCAGCTGCCCTCAGGCCAGAGATGCTCTTAAGCACCATTGAGAGGGCCTGGTAGTCACCTGCTCATTTACTCTAGTCAGGCTTTTATTTAGGGTCCGTAAATGCCAGTGACAACCATGGCTGGCTGTTACTCTGTGCTGGTCCCTTTGTATACAGCTTCCCCCATGGTATCTCAGTGGTAGAACCCTGGAGGGTATGACTTGTTTATGTGCTGTGTCTTGACCATTGCAGTGGGCTCGTAAATGGAGGGGAGAACTGGGCCTGGACATAGTCCACCTGGCTCTGGATTCCATATTCTCCACCACTAACCCAAATGTGTGGAGTGCCTGATCCTAACTGTCAAGGAGGAGTCCCTGACTCAAACTTGGACATGAGCTTATGGTCCAGACCAGCTGGTTTCTATTTTATGAGCTTCCTTTGTGGGTGAACCGGGAAACCCCAATGGGAGGGACTTGGTCACTTCTGCACCTCACGGCACCTCTCCAAGTCCTCTTTTCTCATTCCTACCTCAATTTTAGTGGGAGAAGTCCTGGTCCTGTGCTTCAACTTGGAGAATAGGCACATTGGCCATAGGTGGACGTGGCGTCACCGTTGGGGCAGAACAGGCTTCTCCTAACTGGGGACCCATGCAGGATTAATCTCGGATTAGTTGGTTGAGATGGGCTGGGTGTGGCACTGTCCGTGAACAGCATTTCGGGGCTGGGAGATGGGGGCTAAATACGGTACCAGTTTGAAACCACGGTGTCTGTGTTATATTCAGGGCTTGCCCGTAAGCGCTGTTGACATCTGAGTGAAGGGCCCCCTTCCTGCAGAGCACATTACAGTGCTTGCAGGTATTTAGTAGTCCCCAGTGTGCTGTGTGTGAAGACTCCTCTCCATGCTTGTCTCTCTCTCTTAGGGTGGATGAGGATGAGGATGACTTGGAGGAAGAACATGTAACCAAAGTGAGTTAAGCTGCCTACTCCTCAGATGCTTCTGGGGGAAGCGGACTCTAGGTCCAGGACTCTGTGTTCTAGCAGTTTCTCAGCCTCTGGTGGTTGGAGAGCTCCCAGCCTTACGGGTGTGTGCTTCCCAAGCATTGCTTCTTGTTGCTCCCTTGACCACCTGAGCTCTGAGGGGAGGCCTTGGAAGGAGCAGCCCTTCTGGGCCAAGGACTCCCGGGGTTTCCCTCTGCAGTGAGCGGTGGTGAGGGCGAGGGAGGAGCCAGCTGGTGTGTCCTTATTCTTGGACTCTCATGGCGTTTCTCTTCCTGCTTGTGTCTCACATGTGAGCTGTGTGTGGTGTGACACGTCTCCATTTTAAAAGTACATGGTCTCATCTAAGATGGACCTTTTCTGTTGATAGTTGGCGTCCTTCTCTGCTCTGCTCTCTCTTCAGCTGAATCCTAGAGTAGCAAGTGCGCACCTCAGGCTCTTGCCTTTCCCTTCAGGGCACACGTGGGGAACAACTTTCCATAGTATTCTCCCCAGGGCTGAGGCTCACTGCTGGGTCAAGAGTCAGTGCTGCGGGGAAACCCACTCTCCTAGGGTCCCCAGCGCCTATGGTGTGGTAGGAGTTGTGAGAGTTGAGTTCTGGGGATTACTTGAACTTGTAGAACACTTCTAGGCCCTCCTCAGGCGTTACCCTGACCTGAGCTGACATGCTGTCACCTCAGAAGTGTGCTCTTGTGACCATCCTCCGTCCTCCTGCAGGACCTCAGGCCACTATGAGCGAGTAAGACTCCTCTCTCTGACTCCCCTTACTTTCCCCTGGTCAGATTTATTACTGCAGTCGGACACACTCACAGCTGGCCCAGTTTATACATGAAGTACAGAAGAGCCCTTTTGGCAAGGAAACCCGGCTAGTCTCTCTTGGCTCTCGGCAGGTAAGAAAAGCGGGAAGGGGTCATCCCAGACAGAGTCCTCCTTCTGTGTCTTGTCTCGTGGTCCAGGCGAAGAAAACTGGTGGGATGAGGGCACGGTGGGCATCAGGAGCCTTGCACCTTTGCTGGCCTTACTGTTCTTTAGGAGGCACAGGAGAAACAGCCTGGGTAGTGGATCCTTTAGTCAGCATCATTTCTGTTCTTTATCTTTAAAAGACACCTATCAGTATTTGGTATCAAAGATGTTGAGCTGAACTAAGGAATGCTGAGGGTGGGAGAAATAAAATAGTCTTCCTCAGGGAAGAGCACAACATGGGTTTTCCAAGACCAAACGGTGGGTCTGAAAACATAGTCACAGGCTGAGCAGGCTATGCTTAGGAGTATACATGCTTGCACATATGCATACATGAATATAGTATCAATTGTTAGAAGAAGAGGCCATGGATTTGAAAGGGATCAAGGAGTGTTTGCAGGAAGGGATGGGGAAAAATATGATTATAATGTCAAAACATAGAAATTAAAGAATGTACTGTTGGTCGTGTTTCTCTCATTGGGGTTGGGAGCTCACAACAAAGGACAGTATACTTTATTCAATAAACTGTTTCCAAAAATCCTCCCAGAAACCTCACCCTTTGGATGGGAAAGAAACAGAAAATCAGCACATTAGAAAAGCTCTCTTATAAGTCAGTCTCAGTGGTGGCGCACGCCTTTAATCCCAGCCCTCCGGAAGCAGAGACAGGTGGATCTCTGTGAGTTCAAGGCCAGCCTGATCTACAGAGTGAATTCCAGGTCAGCCAGAGCTACACAATGAAATCCTGTCTTGAAAAAACAAAACAGAAAACCAATCAAACAACCCACCTCCAAAAAAACAAAAACCAAAAACCTCTCATACTCAAATGGGGTCAGGGCTGGAGAGATGACTTGGTGGATAAGAGCACTTGTTGCTCTTCGAGAGGATCCAGGTTCAATTTCAGCAGCTATACGGGAGCTCACAGCCGTTTGTAATTCTAGTTTCACAGGATCGTATGCTGTCTCCTGGCCTCCTTGGGGACCAGACACACACATGGTGCACAGACATACGTGCAGACAAAATACCCACATACATACATAAACGTAAGAGTAAAAAGTCTGCACTCGGGTACGAAGCCCAGTGGGGTGGCGTGTTTGAATACAGCAGCGACAACCTTAGTAAAGGTGGTGAGTTTTATGTGTACAGATAAGTTTCTTTCATTCAGGAAGGTGGAAGAGCAATTCAGTGCTCACATTGATATTAACGGCCTATTCTGTAAGCAAGGGGAAGCAGGTCGGGATGCGACGGTATCTAGGTTTGACAGGGTGAGCTTGGTGGCCGAGGTCTTTCCCAATGTGCATGACAGTTGACGCTCTCTTTTCTCCTGCCTTACAGAATCTGTGTGTGAACGAAGATGTGAAAAGCCTGGGTTCTGTGCAGCTTATGAATGACCGCTGTGTGGACATGCAGAGAAGCAAACATGGTAGGCATGGGAGCGTGAGCTGTGCTGCAGAGCGGAGGTGGCAGGAATGTGGTACAGGGCCGTGATGACGAAGACCGTGTGCTACCCAGAAATAATGGCCAGGGAGCCCTTGCTTCCTTCCTCAGGCCCCCTCAGGGGCAAGAGTGTTCATGCTTTCTGGGTCAGGGTTGGGACCTGGATCTGGGCCAGGGTTAGAGATGTTTGTGCCGCCTCTTTATGGAGAGTGTAAAGTAAAATCCCAGAGTGTTCTGATGAGTTCCTAGCCAGCAGCAAGGGAACATGTTTGAACGTCACCTGCTTGTGAGAGAGAACTGCTTGTGACCCCAGAGCTCCTTCCTGCCCCTGCTTTCCTCCCGATGTCCCACCACAGAGAAGACCGGAGCTGGGGAAGACATGCCAAAGAAAAGGAGACGGAGAATCCAGACCTCTTGCCCCTTTCACAACCATGAGCAGATGCAGCTTCTTCGGGATGAGATTCTGCTGGAGGTGAAGGACATGGAGCAGCTTGTGGCCCTCGGGAAGGAAGCACGGGCCTGCCCCTATTACGGAAGCCGCTTTGCCATCCCTGCAGCCCAGGTGAGTGTGCTGTGCTGGGGAACCGGGAAGAAGTTGTGGCACTGAGTGGGGCTTACAAAACAAAGTGCTCTTCTCTTTAGTAGGTGAGGACGTCACTACCTGGGTTAGGCTGACAGCCGTGCTGCATCGCATACTCCTGGCACACAGTTGTCTTATCCAGAGCGTAGAGTTGAAGAGGCCAGGGGTCCTTGGTATCTGTGGGCTAGAGGCCAGCTGGTGTTGTTGAGCACTCACTAGATAAGGGGCCCAGGAAGTGGCATGACCAAATAAATGGCTTCCCAGGTGGATGGCTGACGGACCTACCTGCTTGCACATGCAATACTGTCCTGATTAGACCTGCCTTACCTTTGTACAGAGAGGAAAAGCCAGTTTTTGTCTGACAGCCCTGAGCTCTTCACTATGGTGATTTCCTGCTACCTCCCTCCCTCCCCAGAAGGGGTCACTCATGGGGAGCTCTGTCATCTGGGAGACTTAAATGGATTTCAGAAGAGCAGTTCTCTGTAATCACTTTCATACCCAGTGCAGTGCTCATGTGTGGACGTCCTGCTCTGCGTGGTACTCATAGACAAACTGGGGACTGGGTCTACAGATGTCCCCGTGAGTTAATGCTGCCACCATTTGTGTAGAAGTATGAAGACCTGAAATAGCCCTGTTTTCCCCATGAGAACACTGGGGCCCAGAAAGATGATTTTCTCTCCTCTCACTGTCTTAAATGATGGTACCCATATTGGCACCTGGGCCTTGAGTTTCCAGTTTTCTTAGATTTTTGTATTATCGGTATCTTTTTTGTTTTGTTTTGTTTTGTTTTTCGGGACAGGGTTTCTCTGTGGCTTTGGAGCCTGTCCTGGAACTAGCTATTGTATTCCACGCTGGTCTTGAACTCACAGAGATCCGACTGCCTCTGCTTCCTGAGAGCTGAGAGTAAAGGCATGTGCCACCACTGCCCGGCAATTATCGGTATCTTTATGTGTGTGTTTGGTGTGTGCGCGCGCGCGTGCTTGCGCCTGTGTGCAGGCCAGAGAACAACTTTGGGTGTGGCAAAGCAAGTGGGTAAGCGAGCCTGTCCTTGTCTCCCCGCTGCTGCAATCTCAAGTGGTACCACCTACCCCCTCCCCCACCTTTTTCCCATGGCTTTGCGGCTCAGACTTAGTCCTTGCTTTCAAGGGAAACACTTTATGGATTGAGCAATGTCCCTCACTTTTTGTTGTCTTTTAATTTTAAGATCTCCGTAGCAGCGTATACCTACAGATTTGGTTTTATACACACTCTCCCCTCAATTGACATAGTTTGCCATATTCACTAAGCTGATAAAAAGCCAAGGCTATACTAGGCTATACTTTGCCAGTGTCACAGCTGGGAAGTAGCAGCCCCAGGACCATAGTCGGCTGTCAGTTTGTGGTGCTCAGCGTGTTGAAGTTTGGAGCCTGAGGGCTATCTTGGGAGGTTAGATGAGGTTCACCCCCAGGGATGCCACCCCCTTCCCCTTCCCCAGATGATCAGCTCCAATTTTAGTTCCTCATAAAACATCTGCAAGAAGGTCTGTTGGAACAGGCACAATAGTGAGCTGTGCTATTCTGGCTGAATACCTCACCCCCGTGCAAGGTTGGAGTAAGAAATTAAAGGACTTCAGTGGCCTGGAGAGTTCACTGCAGGACTGTCTGTCATCTTTCCCTGTAGCTCGTGGTACTGCCTTACCCCATGCTGCTGCATGCAGCCACCCGACAGGCTGCAGGAATCAGGCTGCAAGGCCAAGTGGTCATCATTGATGAGGCACACAACCTGATAGACACCATCACCAGCATCTACAGCACAGAGGTCAATGGTTCCCAGGTGGGTGAGCCTTGGGCCGAGTGACGTAGGTAATTCCTTTAAATACCTAGGCCAGGAATTCCTCTGTATGTGGGACTAGAAGTTGAGCTGAACTAAAACTCTGTCTTTTCTTGTTCATTGGCAAGTGTGAGGCTCTTGGTACTGCTGTCCTGCATCCAGGATATTGCTAACTGGTTCTCTGTCAGTAGGGTAGTGGCTTCAGGAACCAGGAGTCTCACAGGGTTTCATTTGTGTTTATTGATACTGCTTTGGGGGTGTTTAATGGAGGGGTGCCCAGGGTCTCTGCAGGCTATTTGCTGTTATCTGGCATGTGGCAAGCTTTCTCTTGGGGTTCACTGCTTTAGTTTTGAAGCTTTGGGATTCATGGAGGACAAAATTGTGGAGGTGAGCCAGGACCACACACTGCACAAGTTGAGGTGAGCCAGGATTTGACCATGAAACCCATGTGGTATCTGCCCCCTGCTTGAATTTCATTCTCAGATCCCCTGTGATATTAGGACCTTAGGTTTTGGCCTCTTCCCTTGCCCTCTGAGCTGTCATTAGCCCATGGCCTCTACATGCTTTGCCCTTGTCTGTTTCTGTCCAGCAGCCCATCACCTTGGTGGTATTCTGGGCTGTCGTTTCCTAGACGTGGACTAAGGCCTCTCTACAGAGATCCTCTTAACCATACATATCCTGGGATGCCTTCATGCTATTCTGTTTTCTCCCCAGCTCTGCCAGGCCTATTCCCAGTTGCTGCAGTACATGGAAAGATACGGGTAAGACACTACCCTGAGGAAGGACATCTAGCCATGCCCAGTCTCTGTTAGTGCCCTGGTCTTGGAGGAATAGGTTCAATTGGTCTGTCTTGGTGTGCCCCCTCTACATCTTAGGCTTATGGGGACAGAGCTGCAGGCTTCAAAAGCCTTTTTATCTGCTGGATGTTTTGTAGTTCACAGCCCAGTGTGTCAGGCCGGAGGCAGAAAGGCCCCATGGCATCTGGTGGAGGGAAGCTGCTGCAGAATCCTGTGCTAACTCTGCCTCTGTTGCTGCTTCCTCAGGAAGCGTTTGAAGGCCAAGAACCTCATGTACATCAAGCAGACCCTGTACTTGCTGGAGAGATTTGTGGCTGTTTTAGGGGGTAAGGAGTACCAGCTGCAAGTTGTGTTGTTGGTAAACCTTATTTACTTATTTATTTATTATGTATACAGTTATCTGCATGCATGCTTGAACACCAGAAGAGGGCACAGATCTCATTACAGATGGTTGTGAGCCACCATGTGGTTGCTGGGAATTGAACTCAGGACCTCTGGAAGAGCAGCCAGTGCTCTTAACCTCTGAGCTACCTCTCCAGCCCCGTGTGTTGGTCTTGTTCCTTGAATGTCAGTCAGGACCCTTGGGGGTTTTAAGCACTGGGATGTCCTTTCCAGCCTCACTTGAGATGTTTGACTTCAGCTTTCTCACTGTTGTTACTTTAGGCCCTAGTTTAATCCTCCGTGTTTCATTCCTTTTACCTTTTACTCATACAGTGTAAAACAAAACATGCTGTGTGGCATAGCTGCAACCACGAGGTATACCGGCACCGATACACAGGCAGTCTGTTTGCCCCTGTGGATAGAAGCCTGGGAACTTTAAGCCTCATTCACAGAGGGTGGGACCTGTCTGTGGCTCCTGAGACTGGAGGCTGCTGACTCTGGCATCTTGGGTTGTTCAGGCCTGGGACTGTTTCATTCTATGGCGATGCTTTTAAAGGCTTCTGCAGAGCTGGATTTCCAGAAAGCCAGGGTAGTGCTCTCCACCACCTTCTCTGCCTGTGTCGCAGCTCCCTGTCTTCTGGAAGATCCTGCTTTTTTCCTTGTCCTGCTCAGAGTGACAGTGGGGAGACTGCCCTGATCCTGTCCCCTGTCTGTCCTTGGGTTCCATTTGAAGTGTGTGAGTCAGACCTGCAAGGCTCCTGGAAGCTCCTGTCTTCTTAGCGTGTTCTTTGTTTGCTGTGGTATGCTGGCACAGGCAGTCCTGTTTGCCTCAAGCAGATGTCTCTGGAAACGTGGATGCTCCTTGCATTTGAGAGTTGGGAGCTCCGAAGTGGGCAGAGAACTGCCACCGTGACCGACTGGAATTCCCTTCTTTAGGTAACGTCAGGCAAAATCCTCGCACGCAGAGCCTGCTCCACACAGGTGAGGAGGATGAGAGGTGACGTGAACCACTCAGAGCTCCACTCTGGGACTGAGCAGGGGACTTGGCAAGGTACAAAACCAGGCTCCTTTGTCTGCTCACAGGGTCTGAGCTGAAGAGCATCAACGACTTTCTCTTTCAGAGCCAGGTGGACAACATCAATCTGTTCAAGGTAAGGGTCTATTCTGGTTTACTTAAGGCTAGAAAGGAGAGGTAGGGGTGGGGTGCAGCTGTGGGAGAGGTAGGGGTGGGGTGCAGCTGTTGAGCACTTGCCTGTTATGAGGAAGGCTGTGTGTTCTGCCTCTAACACATAATCAAAATAAACATGGAAGAAATAAAATGCAAATCATTGTCTTTGAACCGTCTACTGTCCATGGACCTACATCAGGGACAGGCAGTCACCAGCTCTTCAGACTGCAGACAAACAGCCAAGTCGTCTATTGGGTTGAGAGTTGTTGGGTTTGACAAGGAGATTGCTGTCATTTGCACACCTGCCTAGGTATAAACCCAGCCTCTGGGTACTGTCATGCCTTTCCATCTCTCTTCTGCCAGTCTTTCTCCAGGGAATTGTTTTCATATTATAGACCATGGTGTAATGTTTGAGCCAGGTGAGAACATGGCTGGGACTGCCTGACTCCTCCTTCCTGCAACGGCTTTGGCTTGGGTGGCAGTCTCAGACTTTCGTTTATGTTGCCTTTGCTATCTGGTGCTCCCTCAGGCGTCAGGTAGCTGTGTCACTAAACCACAACGTAGTGTGTCTCAAGTAAGTACTATTACCTCCATAGATGCTGTCCCTTTATTCTGAGCACTCTGACAGGCAGGACACACTATGGCCATTTAAGAACAGGAAACATGGCTCAGAATAGTTGTTCTAGAGGATTGGCCCAAGCTACACACCAATGAACCAGGGTGGCTGGATGGGGCCAGTGTTCAAACCCAGCTAGACCCATCCTAGATCTGATTCCCTTCTGCTTGTCTTTCATTTTCTTTTCCTTCCTTCCCTCCTTCCTTCCCTTCCTCCCTCCCTCCCTCCCTCCCTTCCCGCTCCCTCCCTCTCTCCTTAAAAAATTATTTATTATTTTTGCAGCATTCGGCCTGCATGAATGCCTGCAGGCCAGAAGAGGGCACCATTACAGATGGTTGTGAGCCACCATTTGTGGTTGCTGGGAATTGAACTCAGGACCTCAGGAAGAGCAGCCAGTGCTCTTAACCTCTGAGCCCTTAAGGGCAATTTTTTGTTTGCTTGTTTGTTTGTTTTTGAGACAGAGTTTCTCTGTGTAGCCTTGGCTGTCCTGGAATTCATTCTGGCTTCGAACTCAGAGATCTGCCTGCTTCTGCCTGGGATAAAAGGCATGGGCTATCACCTCTGGGATGCCTTTCATTTTCAAATCATTTGTCCCTTTTGTCATTACTGTGATCCTATCAATCATCTTTGGTACTTTTCTCCCCTTTGTGTTCATTTTATTTTATTTTTTTACGTACACATTTGTCTGTGTGAGGTTGTCAGATACCCTGGAAGTTACAGACAATTGTGAGCTGCCATGTGGGTGCTGGGAATTGAACCCAGGTCCTCTGGAAGAGCAGCCAGTGCTCTTAACCACCAAGCCACCTTTCTAACCCCTGTGTTCAACTCTAAATAATTGACTTGCCCCTTGTTCTTGAGTTAGTGCAGCTTCAAGTCCCACAGCTGTGACCCTTGTGGCAGGCTTCTTTCTCCAGCTTGCTTCAGACCCCTCCCTTCTCACTCAGTGAAGCTGACCAAACCAGTCTTAGCCGGATGCCAACCTTTGTAGCAATTTTCCTCATTCCCATCAAACCTCATGCTCTCAAATTGTGAGCTGAGCTGAGGCATCACCCTCTACTGAATACAGCAGGGAGACTACACCCTGGTCTTCCTTGGGACAGGTCCAGAACTTACCTTCTTGCTTTTGTGCAAAGGATTGCATTTTTTCTTTGTTTTTAAAAGATTTCCTTTTTTTTTTTTTTTTTTTCTTTTTTTT